ATTTTATTCGATAGACAGGAGTGCAAAATACTGTAGCAAAAAAATTAAGCAGTAGAAGAGATGTTTTGAGGTGTTTTAATGGTAATAATTGGACAGTGCACCTGCAAGATGCTTCTAATAGAATGAGTCACCATAAAAATGCAATTTCAGCCACAGTCAATTTACACAAGGATTAAAAAAATATCAATTTCCAATTTATTCTTCTTTTCACTCTGTTTTTTAATAAGCCCAGATAATGACTAATATGTCAATAGGTTCTCTCAGCCAAGCAAATAATCTGCTGCCAGCTTCTCTGTTCTCTTCTCTATACCTTTATTTAAGGGTGTGATTTGCAGGGTTATAACCCCTCCAAAACTCTGATGCTGCCAATTTAAATGATATCACATTACTGCAAGTTACAAAGATATCTTGCATTAATGATGTGCTGATTTTTTCCCCTCTTTGCTAAAAACTTGGTATGCATCCCTCAAGCTGTTCTCTCTACCTAACTTTCACCATTTGCTGCCATGTTGATGCAGTGTGAGTGATTGTAGTTGAAAAACATGAGAGGGACACCAGAACACAGATGTTTTGTTACTGGTTGAAATCAAGCCCTTGTCATTTGAGTACTATTATTAAAAAGTTAATATGACTTATTTTACAAAAGGAAATTATTCACATAACATATAACAGAAAAGCTTAATCCTCCATTCCGGACTTTTTAAGATGAGACAGGGAACGCAGAAAGAGTCCAGAAGGAATGACACTCTGATGAAGCTTTAGCTACGATGGTGGAGGAGGGCCTGGCAGTGGGTTTAAATGGCGTTATCTGAAGGTAGTCACACAACGCATCTGCCGCCTGCACACTGGAGCAGACAAGTGGATCCGAGGCCTTTTCAAATTAACTTAAGATGCAGATTGGCTTTCATTTAGGTTTGGTTCAAAGCTGATTGGCTGTATCTCAGCTGCATGTAGGAGAGCAATCAGTTTCTTCAGTTGAACTTCCACCTAAAGGCTCCATGTTAGACCTAATGTTATACCTTTGACTTTATCCCAGACCTGTCTGCTTTGTTCCTTGGTCCTCTTTACACTGAGTGTTCTCTAAGGTCTCTCTGAGACTTTTACAGAAAAATCTCCAATGGTTTAAAGGTCACCGGTGGTTAAATACAAAACATCACATGCATGACTAAAAAGGAGCAGAATGGTAAAGGAAGAAAAACATTGAAATCCGAAGTCAGAATTTGATCTAAACTGATCAATCTCACTTGATGCAGTTTCACAGAGGTTGACTCTGTACTGTAGACATAGTGTTTCACCACATCTTAATGGATGACCAACCCTGCCATAATTATAAATAAATACAGAAACAAAAAAATACTCCAATGATAAATAAGCATAAAATTAATTGCCCCCCAAAAATACAATAAACAAATAAATGTTGTCAGAATAAAATAACATGCAGATAAATAAATACTTAAAGAAATAAGTAATAAATAAATAAAGTTGAAGAATATAATGGTCAAAAAATACATAAGGTAATTATTACAAAGGCAAATAAACAAAGAAGCTAATTCAAAGATATA